TGAGACCCTGGGCCGTGCTGGAGCCAGCGCTCTGCCTCTGGAGTAACATCTCCAAGCCAGGATTCCTCACCCCAACCTCTGCTGCTGCTGGTTGCACCCCCTGTTCCACCTGGAGAAGCCCCCAGGGTGCAGCAGGGACCCCCCCGAGCGTTGGCAGAGCCCCGTGGAGGCCCCGGGGAACTCTGGAGGGTGGCTGGGCCCCGGGACAGCCCAGGGCAGGTCCCAGTGAAATGAGGGACGGACACCCAGGCTCTGCCCGCGCGCTCGCAGGGCCCCGCTGGTCTCTACAGCATCTCAGAGGCTTCGACAGGTTTTTCTCCTGCTGTTGTGGGGCTTTGCTGTGTTCCACAGAGCCCCTGAGCTTTTCCAACGCTGCTTCTGTCCCGAGTTCCCTGGGGCTTTGGTGGGACTGAGCCGGGCTCTGGCAAGGTGAGGGGTTGGTGGAGCAACTGCAGAGAACGTGTTTGTGGGGAGGCTACCAGGGGAAGGTCAGGGCTACCAGCAGCTTCCAGCCTCGGCCACTGCCAGGTGGGAGCCCTTGGTGGTGGGTGTCTGGTTGGAGCTGGGCTCTGACAGGAACGAAGGGCTTTGGTGAGGGTGAAGTTCTGCCACAGAACTGGCCGCTGCTTCTGCTCAGCCTTGTTCCATCTTACCCACGGGCTGCAAGGAGAGGTCACCCGAACTAATGCAGATCACCACCACATCTCGGAACTCTAACAAGATCCACTCAATGTTGTCTTCAGCAGTTTGTCCCAAACCAGTCTATCTGGTACCTATCCCACTGGGAGCCGCCCACACCAGTTCAAAAGTTTTTTGTGGGATTTTTTTTTTTTTTTCAGGTATTTCATGCAATATTTGACATTTACCTCAGAATTTATGCACATCCATTTCTATTCTCTGATCTTGGGCCACATCTGTATGGCAGGTGGTGCACACACGTTACCTCTGCTGAGTGCTGAGCATGTTCCTTAGAGCACAAGTGTGATGAGCTCAGGCTGAGGGAACTGGGGGTGTTGAGCCTGGAGAGAAGGAGGCTGAGGGGAGACCTTCTGGCTCTGTGCAAGTCCCTTGGAGGAGGGTGGAGAGAGGTGGGGGTGGGTCTGTTCAACCAAGGACCAAGGGACAGGACAAGAGGAAATGGGCTCCAGTTGTGGCCAGGGCAGTTGAGATGGGATGTGAGGAAGAATTTCTTTGCTGCAAGGGTTCTGAGGCATTGGAAGGGGTTGCCCAGGGCAGTGGTGGAGTCCCCATCCCTGGAGGGACTGAAGAGTCGTGTAGACACAGTGCTGAGGGACATGGGTTAGTCGGGGACTGGTCAGTGTTGGGTTCATGGTTGGACTCAATGAGCTTAAAGGGCTTTTCCAAGCAAAACAATTCCATGGTTCTATATGGTAAGACCCACAATGAGAAGACTGGGCCTCTTCAAAATACCCCTTAGAAAAATGGTGAGTTATTCTCGTGTTCTACAAATTGACCGAGATCAGTGAAGTGTGTCCCCTGTGTCCCCTCCCAAGGAGAACCCGATGCACTTTCCCAGCCACTCAGGGAACTGAGCATTTCTGTAGAGGTTTGTGAGATTTCTGGGAACAGAAAGGTGGGTGAGAGCGAGACGGGAGGGGAGCCCGAGATACCAGCACGGGAGGGTTAATGTCCTTCTCTCTCTCTCTCATTTCCATATAAGTGCTGAATTTCTGCACCACCATTCGTCCCTTTGGCAGCTGCTCGTCGTTAACTAAACACTCAACCACAGCAGATAAATACAGTGCAGTGGGGCCGTGTCATAAACCCCCCAGGGATCGATCACACGCTCCAAGGACCCACGTGAAACCTGAAACAAAACTCAGGGGTTGCTCCCGAGAACCAGCGACAGCAACTACTGGTGCATTTTTCATGAAGAATCACGATTCTATTATTAAAGGTCATTAATCTGCAGATTAATCACAGCAACACTCCTAAATTGGCTCGGAAACCTGAGGTTTGCATCTCGTTTTGTCCCGGAGCAGCGCGGGCGCCAGCGACGCCGATCTCGGATTTCTTTCTGCTGCCAGTAGAAGGGATTTTGGTGCGGAACAGAGCGGGACAGGCGCGAGGCCGCCCATGGGCACGGGGAGACCTTTCTGGACAGGAGTTAATGACTGAAGCAGAAAGGCTCTAATTAGTCATCCTCTGAAGTATCCACGTCTTATGTAAAAGCTAATTATTGAATCCAAACACTGTCCAGCACAACTAGTTCAGCAAGCAGGCGGCAGTGGCACGAAGGCAGCTGTGACACGTGCCTGCCAAGCTCCGAGGCCCTTCCTCGTTAATCTTGAGCTAATTACTCTGATTTGGAGCAGCCCATCAAACGGAGAAAAGCCAACTTAATTTTCAACTCAGTGCACTCAAAAAGATGAGCTGCTTTTGCCTCAAAATGTAGATGCACGCTGCCAACATCGTGGACACGATTACATCTTAAAGAAGTATGTTCCTGGTTAAAAAAAAAGTATCAGTTTTATAATCAAGCTTTGATTTGCTTATTACCTAAAAATGCAGCTTCTCCAGCATGGATGGTGCAATCAGGAAGAGCAGCTGCAGCTCGTGTGTGAACATCTCTGTTCTCGAACAGGAATTCCTCACAATTTTATTCAAAGAGAGCACGGACGTTCTCAGACAGCCCAAGAAACTGCTCCGAGGAGTTAAAGCATTCAGAGAAACTCGGAACCTCTTCGCCATCACAGTCTCTTTCACTACAGACCAGGCTGGTCAGACCGGGGACAGGATGGGGCCACATATCGGGACAGTTCTCCAGGTTTGGCCGAGTTGGCAATTTTTCAGTTCCACTTCTGCTTTTTGATGACTACGACCCACTAATCAAAGGGACATTGTTTAAATCATAAATCTCTAACTACCAGTTTTTCTGTCTTAATTTCTTATCTGGCCTCAAGCAGTGATGGGACTCTCCTAATTTATATTTTAAACAATTTCTATTTATCATAGAATCATGGAATATTGTGAGTTGGACCC